GACATATATTTATTGCAAAATCAAACTCCTTCGCCGAATATAAACAAACCGCGCTATTGCATAAACGCTTATCTATGCCATGGAACACCAAAATCCGATAAACAATTTTAAAAAATGTGTTTCTCCGGAAGAAAACCGGAGGTTTTCAGGATTTTTTAGAAATATCCGGATTTTCGGACACATCCGGAAGACTTTCATTACTACTATTAAAGCAACAGTTGCAGTGCAAACAAAAAATATTTGCAGTTGTAGTCATAAGAATTCAAATGAGTTACTCCTTCACTTCTTGTCCAGTATAAATTAGTTCACTTATTGCAAGCCCAATGACTGTTTTTGATGTAATAAACTAACAGCTTCAATATTATAAAAATAAAATAGTACAAAGTTATTCTTCAAACAATAAATATTATTTGGTTTGAGAAACTTGTTTAAGGGTTAAAATGTTATGAAAATTAGAAAGAATATCAGAGACAAACATTTTACTCACTTCATCAAACAACATAAACAAAAATGAAAAACTAGTTACAGATTATAAACCAAAGAGTAATATAAAAATAAGCCTTGAGATTTTTATTACAAGAGCTCAACTGCTTTCAAAAATTATATTTTTTTTTATTCACAAAACTAAAACAACCATTTAATCTCTAGGTGTTTTACAATTCATAAATTTCATCGTAATTAGAATTACTAAATCTGATATAATTTCAGAAGAATGAGTTACCAGGACTTCATAACTAATGATGTCAATATGTTAAATTACAGAATATAGAGTATGTAGAAGTTCTATACACTGGTTTCCTATACTCAAATTTGAATTATAATCTACAATCTGATACCAAACTTATTGACATACATTCATAAAATAGTAGTTCAATAAAATTTTGAATGCAACTCAACAAATGCGATGACATGGCCTCTGACCAGTGTCAGTAGGGTTAAAACAAAAACCATATCTTCAGACAAAACCTTTTTATTAATATTTCAACTAGTAGCCTGTTTCAAGAGCGTGCAGTATACACATATAATTGAGTGTCTCTGCTACAAAAAAGGGTACTATCTCAAATGCTAGGCACAAACAAATTTTTTTGGAGATGTATATTAAGCTTTTTGTTTTAACATTAGCTCAACTCTCCAGTTAATGTTTCAGACTTTTAACATGTCTAATGTGTATGTCTATCAAATCTACCATGTAAGTCAATATTACAAACATACAAAAGTAAAAGCTTTGCTTGATAGACTTTAGAGATAGATGGCGTACTGATCCTTAAAAATATAAAGATGATATCCAGAAAACATTTATTTCACAAAATGAAACTTAAATAACAAAAACTTGTACCTGGTGCATGGTCAAAAACATAAAGATATTATTCAGAAGACATTTACTTTACAAAATGAAACTTAATAACAAAAACTTATACCTGGTGCATGGCCAAAAACATAAAGATAGCATTCAGAAGACATTTACTTTACAAAATGAAACTTAAATAACAAAAACTTGTACCTGATGCATGGTTAAAAATATAAAGACAGTATTCAGAAAACATTTATTTTACAAAATGAAACATAACTAACTAAAACTTGTACCTGGTGCATAGTTAAAGACTGAACTTGTCGTTTCAAAACACTCATTCGAGCTGTTGTGACAACTGATCGAACATCTGGAACAACTGTATCTCCAAATATATCATTAATTAAACGATGATTTCTCAAATATCGAGCTGCAGCCACATGCTTCACTGAAAATTCGTCACTAGCTATTAAAAACAAAAACAACTTTTTTACAAGATGATAAGTAATAAGTTAACTGATGCATAATGTTTTTTTAGCTTAGATTACACACCTAAGTGAAACATTGAATCAACAAGTTTAAAACTTGATAATATGTTCATTAAATAGAAAAATCATCTAGCCACAAATTTAATAGCTTTCAATAATAATTCCCTGAAAATTTTTTCTAAAAACAACATCCAGGTTCTGTGTTGTATTTCATATATTATGAAAAGAACAATAAATGTTCTACCAATATATCACTAAGCTAAACTTTTATCATTTTGTTGTAATCTCTAAGTGAGTCTGCTGAACCGGAAGTCACATTGCTTATGCAGCTGAAAAGAATGGAAAAGGAGCTTTTGTTACATGTTTAACTGCTAGCTTATGACTTCTCAAAACTGAGATATATGCAATTACAGGACACTATGACAAACTGAGATTGAGAAACGGTGACTGGTTAAAATCGATAAAACTACATTGGTATTGAAGTTGCAAAGTCCAAAACTTTTTACCAAGGGAGCTACGAGTGTTGTATTACGTTAAAAAAATTCACAAACACTAATGTTTTCATTTGGAGCCTGCTGAAGTCAATCCAAAATTAAAATTTGAATTTAAAAAAATGTGTATGCATAAAAGTAAATACGTAAAACTTTTTTTTTCATGAATAAATTTTAATTCTGAAGTATTAAAAAAGTTTGAAAGAACAACAAGAAGTTTAGTTTCTATAAAGGACAATTTTTCTCTTGGAAAGGATAACTTAGGCTTACCTTTGTCCAAGTTATTCAACCTCATACATATTTCAGAAACATAGTAAATGTATAAGTATATTATTTATAAATAATTTTGCTGCAGAAAATTATTTCACCAAAAACCTTAAAAAAACTAATCTATACACACCAGCATCATCATCTTCTGCAGGCTGTATATAAATCTTTTTATCAGTTTTCTGGAGTGGTATAAGTGTCTAAAAAAAATAGAAACGAGTTAGAAAGCTTAATCTATCATTCTTAAAACATATTTTACTTCTATATGATAATCTGTACACAACCTTTATCAATATTCTATAGAATAAATCCCACTAGTATATAAAATAGTCCTAACAATTACTTCCTTTATAGCTGAGGTTCATTAACAGCTAATTTGAAGGAATCAGTCTTGTACTTTAGTGTCTGATGTAAACTATGTTAGCACTAAAGATTATTACTTTCTAAAATAATCCTTTTTATATTTGTATTCCTAATAAAATAGCAACACACATTTCTTTCACATAAATTAATGCATTTACAAATACATTACCTAAGAGTATATAAAACAATATTTGTTTGTGCCTAAAGCTACCATACAGATTCCTTTCAATATTTTTTGTAAGAAAAAAACAAAACAAAAACAATCATGTGATTGTTAATAACAGCATAAGATTTCTTTTTAAACATGAATTTAATATTTCATGGTTATTTACTTTCAACTTTCAAATGAAACTTTGAATGAAAAACAAATGATGCGTTAGTTTTGAAAGAGAGTTTCATTTCACTTTCAAAGAAGTACTAAGTGCAATGTGAGGTAATTTAGCATACACAACTTAAATATATAGAGAACCAGCCAAAAGATTTAAGATTTACAATTAACATCTGTACATTGAAACTAAACAATATGGTTGCTAATTCTTAATAGAAGCTTCACTTTTTGTCTATAAATATATTTTCAAAATGTAGTTTTATTTGTAGAAATAAAAAAAAACCGTTGGTTTTGTTTGTTTAGATTCTCTTAAAGTTCACTTAAAAGTGAAAAAAACTATTTTCTGTTTGTACTTGGATTTTGTCTTGACTAATTTTTTACCACTGTATAGTTTTCAAATAAAAATGAACAAGACCAAGAAAAAAGTCCAGTTTAACCTCACCTACTGGTAAAAAGTTAATTTTGCCTTAATCTGACATAAGCCAAGGAAGAAAAAAACACTGGCTTAACTGTATAATATTACAATGGTACAGTTTTCAGATAAAAAGAACTAAATATTGTCTATTTACGATTCTTTAAACCCTCCTCCAATTTTAAAATTTCAAGCAACTTCTTTTGTTTTATAGTTAACGTGACAAAATGTAGTTTAAATAAAATATCTATTTATATATGTGTGTGTACATACTGTATTACTTATTATATTGATAATCTAACTTTATTTACATAAAACAAGTGATCTAATGAAAAACTTGATCATTTAAAATCCAAGGAAGGTTTCAGTTTGGATAGTAAAAAATCTAGTGTTTATAAGTTTTATCTGTATGGTTTTATAATTACAATACCCACTGATTTGACAAAGAATCACACAGTTGTTGACATGAGCAGCAACTGCCTAGTTCTGAGTAACACTTCAGGAGAAAGTCATGAAGGACTAATAATAATCTACAAAAGTAGCTCGTGTGGTAAGTATAAAATATATCTAATAAGACACATAGTTTCATTGTTAAGGATCATGAGCACAGAATAAAAATAACATGTTGCCATACCAAACTTTTTTAAATTGTTAATAAGTTTCATTTAATATCTATATAAATATAATAGTACTGTCTGTTTTATGTCCATGTAACTACTTCACAGGGTGTGGATGGATCTTCACCAAATTTGGTATAGAGGTTTATTGTGTCCATGGGGAGATAAATACATATTTTCAGTTTCACATTTGGCAGTTTTTATGGGTATTTTGCATTTTTTTTACCACTACTTTGCTCCCTGCAGATGGATCTTCACCAAATTTGGCATGAAGGTTTGTTGGGTCCATGTATAGATACATGCGAAGTTGCAGTTTCACAATTTATGTTTTGCAGTTTTTATGGGCAATTTTGCATTTTTTACAATTACATAAAAGGGAAGCAACTTTTCATGTCCTAAGATAACCTTTCATTAATAATGAATTTACATAACTTCCATTCAGGAAACGGGTACTCCAGCTAGTATATAATAAGTTTTAAACCAGTTTTATGTTTAATTCTATACATATTTTTTTACACTTCTTTTCAGTGATTTTCTCTATCTATTCAAGCAATTACTTAGGCCAACAAGATCTAATTCAAGTATGGTCTAACGAACAGGAGCCTTGTCGGCAAAACAAAACTCAATACATATCTATGGGGTTTTGATGTCCATTAGAAGAGGCCTAATGATATTTTTTGGTTTGCTGACCCAAACTGTGCTGATGAGCCTTGAAAAGGCAAAACTGCAGTACACAGCAGAAGGTACAGCTAATCGAAGAATGCATTAGGCCTCTACATCACAGATTCTCTTTCAATTTCACCTCTTGTGAAAGACAAAACACATATATACATAAAACCCAATACAACTGAGTGCAAAACTATTAAAGCCTACCTTTATCCTATTACACAAAAAACATTTATTTTCCTAATATATTGCAACATCATCATAATTGAAATGATGTATAAAATGCTAAAGGAAGCTGTTCACAAGCTTTAACAAATCATGACTGTAATTATGGTGGAAGTTGTTTAAAACATCTTTTCTTCTAACAACGTATCACCAAACTAAGCAATTATCACATTGTTCTGTTCTCTCTGCAAGTCTCCTCTAAACTGGAAACTAGATCAGCTTTAAATATGCAGTTGAAAAGATCTTTCACTACATGCTTAAATCCCTGGCTAATGACTTCTCAAAGAGGAGGTATAGGCAGTTATATATCATACTATGATAACTGGAGTTGATAGACAGTTCTTGGCTAAAATTGATAAATCTACATTTGTATTAAAGTTACAAAGTTCAATTTAGTTAGTTTGTTCAAAACTATTTCAAGCTTCATCTTATGGGATTATGAGTGGTATACTATGTTCAGGCAATTTGTAAACACTAATGTTTTTGTTCAGAGAGCCCTTAAAATGACAAAACAAAACCAAAATCTGTGATTTTTAAAAATTATCAAATATAATTTTATTGAATAAGTTTCGACTCTAAATTATTTTTAAAATGCGAGAAAGAACAACTCTAAGTTTATTTTTTATAACTTTTTAAGTTGAATAATGCTATTTTCCATGAGTTCAAGATGCATCAATCTGAGCACCATGTAGTTAAAATGGGCTTTCAGAATATTTTATTACAAAACGTTTTTAACAGAAACAAATGTATTCAAAAATATTCTTTCAAAGCAGTCTTTTAGAAAAAAAAAATTACATACATTGAGAGGTTTTTGTACCATTTTTATGAATTTTTCTTTTAATATTTCAAGTATTTTATTTGTTTGTTGGTTTTTATTAAGCACAAAACTACATAATGGGCTATCTGTCCACTGTATGTATCAAAAACCCATATTCTACTGAGATTAACTTTTTTATTTGTTTTTTTTTCACCTTCTATTATCTTAATATTTCTGACACAAAAACAAAACAAATTATAACCATTCTTTATTCTTAACATCTATGTATTAGGTTGTCAAGAAATTTATGTCGCATTTTGGAACACTTTCATTAACTACCCCTCAAAAAATGTACATCACGTATAATAGTTCAACGAACTGCCTAAACGTCATGTTAGTGTAGCCTATATAATGTGTAAAGTTTAGTACATTCTAATCCCTTATAATGATGGCACAAGACGAGACACACATTCGGCATGTAATGCTGTTTGAATACAAGAAGGGAAACAATGCCTCTGCAGCCACTAAGAATATCAAAGAAGTTTATGGAAATGTTTTAATCGTTCGTAAGTGTCAATGATGGTTCAGCATATTTCATTCAGGTGACTACAGCCTTAAAAAACTGTGATGGCAGGGGCCAACATGTTGGAATTGATATTGACACTGAAGATGCTTGTTGAGTCTAACCCAAGGCAACACACTCGTGAAATGGCCCTGAAATTGCATGTCTTTCATGAAACAATACATAAACATCTAAGGAATATGGGAAAACTCCATAAAGGTGTTGGGTGCCTCACAAATTTTCTGATGATTATCATTTCCAACATGTGAACATTACTTCATCTCTTCTGGCATGTAATGCGTGTGAACCATTTTTGGACAGAATTGTCACTGGTGATGAAAATTGGATTCTCTATGCAAATATTAAATGTCAAAAACAATGGCTCAGTCCTAAA